GCGTGTCACATACACGCACGCGCGCGCGCACACACATGCATGCTTCCAGTCCTGGGGAAGGATTCCATTGACAAACTGGCCAAGGGGTCTTCATTGTCTTCCCCCAAGTGAGCCGAGTCTGCTCTTTGGGTAGGCCACATCTGTCTGCTCTAACATCTCTCAGACATTGTGTTCCTCAGTGAGGACCCACTCTCTAAGAGGAGGAACATCTAAAATTGCTGTGGTACAGAGTTCAGCCCCACTGTCACTCCCCCAAACATAGATGGTAAAGACTGAATGTTTGTGTGTTTTATTAAATTCATATGCTGAGCCCTTAGTCCCCATTGTGGCAGAATCTGGAGGTAGGTCTCTGAGAAAGTAGTTAAAATTAAATGAGGTCAAAGGGCAGGGCTCTTATCTAGAAACACTGTGTGAAGCCAGGAAGAAAGCTCACACCAGGAACCCAAGAGGCTGGTACCCTGACCTCAGATTTTTAGCCCCTAAGCTGTGCAAAAATAATCTGTGATTTAAACTACTCAGCCCATGGCATTTTATTTTGTTTGGATATTACTCAGCCCCAACTGATGAACATATGGAGCAATGGAGAAAGCAGGAAGGCTTAAGGTTTGAAAGGAGGGGACTGGGACATTCATAAGAAAACATTTTACAGTAGCTCTTCACACACCCCACCCATCTACTGGTCTTTTTCCACAGTGCAGGCTTGCTGACGAATTTAGGAGCAGATCTTGGCTAATCTGACCAGGACTTTCACGTTTTATTTTTTGAGACAGGATCTGTGTAACCAGGCTGGCACTGAATTCATGATCCTCCAGCCTCAGTTGAGGTTACAAGCATTCACCACCATTCCCAGCCCTTATTTTAATTATGTATTAGAGAATTCTGAAGAGACGTTGATTAAATGCCATTGTTTTTAATTTGAGGTTTTGGGGGAGTTGTTTTGTTGGTCGATTTTTTTTGTTTCATTTTGTTCTTCAAGACAGGGTTTCTCTGTGTAGCCCTGGATATCCTGGAATTCACTTTGTAGACCAGGCTGGCCCTGAACTCAAAGCTCTGCCTGCCTCTTCCTCCTGATTGCTGGGATTAAAGGCACATACCACCATGCCTAGCTGGTTTCTTTTTTAAAGGTCTTAAAATAGAGATTTATTTAGCTGGGAGTTTGGGTGCGTGCCTTTAATCTGAATGCTCACGAGGCTGAGAGGATCTCTGTGAGGCCAATCTGGTCTACGTAACAAGTTCCAGGTTAGCCAGAGCTAAATAGTGAGAACCTCTCTCTCTAAAAGAAAAAAAAAGAAGAAAGTTTTATTTTTATGTCTAGCCTGTAAGCATGCTTGTGTACTACATGTTTGCTCGGTGCTCACTACAGAAAGAGGCATTGGGTCCACTGGAAATGCAGTTACAGGTGGTTAATACTTGTGTGAATGCTGAGATTTTAACCTGGGTCCTCTGGAAGAGCAGCCAGTGCTCTTAACTACTGAGATAGCTCTCAGCATCTTATCTGAGGTTTGTAAAGGAGCAAGTTGGGGACTGAAGAGATGGCTCAGCAGTTCTGCAGACACACACGCAGGCAAAACACTCATATACATAAAATATTTTTAAATTTAAGAAGGATCCATTTAAACGAACTAGGACTAGATGGTCAGACAGCTATAAATTTCATTCGTGGATGAAGTTAGAAGAATGGATAGAGCAATCAGCTCAGCTGGGGCCTACTCTGCCCACTTTCTAGTTGACTTTCCAGGGATTACTGTTTCCATGTTTCAGATGGGGGAAACTGAGGTATATTAAGGCAAGAAACTGTGTGCCATGTGCTTGTAATGCCTAACATTTGGGAGGTGGAGGGTCAGGAGTCATCCTCACCTATACAGTGAGTTCGAGGTCAGACTGGGCTGCTTGACACCTCGCCTCAATCCCACCCAACCCTCCAAAAGGAGAGCCCAGGGAAGTAACCGCTAACGAGGGACTAAGATTCCAACCAACAGCCTCGACTCAGTTTCTGCTCTTGTCCCAAAGCAGTTCTTGATGCCAGGACGCACTGTCATTGTCTGTGGAGGAAGTGAGGGACTTAGGGTGCAGGTCTCGAGCGGTATCCTTGGCTGCCTAGACCTAAGACTCAAACCAACCCAGAGAAAAGGGTAGTTATGACTTTGGTAAGGGACCCGTTGCCATGGGAACAAATGAAGGCCTGAGGCGCGCGCATGCGCACAGTCAGAAAGGGGGGGCGCTGAACCGGTGAAAGGTGACGTAGAGCGCCCGGGGTGGGGCGGAGGGCTCTCACTGTAGGAGCTGCAGCCTTTGGTGTCCATAGCAGAGAGAAGGTGCGAGACGGTTGGGGACGGAGTGTGTCCGGCGCCTAGCCACACACCACCGGAGCGAACCGCGAGGACCACACTAGCCCCGCGGCCGAGGCTCCGCCTCTCGGACCTCGGGACTAATCGGATTGAAAGCGCGCCGGGCCCGGGCCCCGAACTCGCCAATTGAGGAGGCCGTCAGTCACCGCCCAATCCGGGGTAGACAGGTGCGAGGTCCGGAAGGTGAAAGCCAATCGGCAGCGGTTGCGGCCTGCGGGGCTGGACTCAGCCAATGAGGAGGCTCGAGTGACAGCTGAGAGCGCCAATCGAGAGTGAGGATCGGTCTTGCCCGCCCGCCCTTCCGGCCGGAGCTCTATTTACCAGGGGCGTGCAGCTTGCTTGCCAATCAGAGTACGGCTGAGCGGCCGGACAGCCAACCCCGGAGGAGCGGCCGGCTGGCGGCCGCCGCACCCAGAGTTGGGATGTCCTACAAACCCATCGCGCCCGCCCCCAGCAGTACCCCCGGCTCCAGCACCCCCGGGCCAGGCACCCCGGTCCCTACAGGTGAGGCTCCAACTCCACCCTTGCTCCCCTTGTCCGGGCAGTCGAGGTCTTGAAGAGAAACGGCTCGAGTTTTGCAATACTAGGCCTGCTAGGCGAGCCTTGCTCAGCCTCAGTTTGCTGGCCTGAGAAGTGGGCGTGGTCACGTAGAGATTGTAGGTGGAGCGCAGGGGGAGGAGTGTGTCTCTGAAGTTGTTCAGTGTGGAGTGAAGAAGCATGCCTTTGGAGGTAGGCAGGGAACGGTCCAGGGCTAGGAAAGCGGTGATGAGACCCTTGCTGCACTCTGACCTCATACTCGTGCATTTGCAGCCGGAAGTGTCCCGTCGCCGTCGGGCTCAGTGCCAGGAGCTGCAGCACCTTTCAGACCACTGTTTAACGACTTTGGACCGCCCTCCATGGGGTATGTACAGGTGAGTGTGGCCAAGAGCTGGCTTATGGATGAGGACCGGAGGTCCCCGCGGGGTCTGAGGTCACGTCTCTGTTTTCTTTTGACACAGGCGATGAAGCCACCCGGTTCCCAGGGCTCTCAGAGCACCTACACGGACTTGCTGTCCGTCATAGAAGAGATGGGAAAAGAGATCCGGCCCACCTATGCTGGCAGCAAGAGTGCCATGGAGCGCCTGAAGAGAGGTGAGCAGAGCCACAGGCCCACCCTCGCTCTGCCCAGGACTCAGACACCGGAAGCTAAGACATTTCATTAAGGAGGGAGGCTGTCTGGGCCAGCCTAGGTTGAGCCAGAACCTCTATCCCGACAGGTGTTTCAAAATGAACTTGAGTCGGTTTCCAAGAAAGTGCCTGGGAACTCAGGGTGATTGTGAGGGTTCGTAGACTCTTAATCCAGCCGCATTAGATTAGAGGTGCTCTTGCTGAACCACGAAGTGGGGGCGGGGAGTGGTGGCTGTGGAGGTTGCTGAGACCCTGTCTGTTACCTCCCTGTCCTCATCCCTCCTCAGGCATCATCCATGCCCGGGCACTGGTCAGAGAGTGCTTGGCAGAGACAGAACGCAACGCCCGCACGTAACAGGAAGCACCTTGGCCTTTTTGTCGGGACCTTTCCGGCCACTGCAGAGCACCTGCTTCTCCTTGGCCTTCACCCCAAGTTGCTTCCTATCCTGAGCTTCCTCCAGGAACCAGGTAGCAGATCTTCCTCTGGTTGGGCTCTGCTCTCTGCAGGAGTGAGCAGGCCCCCCGGGAGTCCCACCCATGACCTGCTCACAATGCCGACCCAACTGCAGCTTCCTCTCTGTGCCCCCATCGCACTTACTTCTTAACTCTTAGTCCAGGCCTCCTCCCCCCCCCCACGGGAGTGCAGAAAGTCTCCTGGCTCGCCTCTGGGGCCACAGCCGACTCTTTTTTTGGTGTGTCTTTTACTAAATACGCCCTTTTTATATAAATAAAAGATGATTTGGAGTCGTTCTCTCAGCTCTGAGCCTTTCTGTCCTCTGGGGAAGCCTGAGTGAGCCAGGAAGGGGGGGGAGGGCAGAGCAGGAATCAGGGCGGGTCTTGAACCTAGCTTTGCCTTCTCACCCACTCGGTGCCTTCCAGCTGAGGGATAGTTGAAAGGCCAGGACACCGGTGGTGAGAAACCCTGCATCGTGTGGTGCCACTAGGGGGCAGCGCAGGGCCTTGGCTGCCTTCACAGCTGGAGGCACTGTTGGACTGCCACAGCCTGGAGGGCCCTTCCCCTGGTTTGGCAGGCATGCCTGGCAGGGTAGAAATACCAGTTCACTTAAGTCTCTCCTTTGAATGCCCTAATGCCCTATACTACCCTCTGCTCTACATTGTCCTTGGAAGACTCCCCGGGTCTCTTAACTTCTCGGGGAGACAGATGTTCCCTTCCCCCAGCACCTTGACTTGATGCTGCTATCCGATGTCCGTACAACTTCCACCAGGCTGGATGTGGCTCCATGAGCCAGCCTGGGTGTCTTGGCCTTTGTACAGAGTCGGGGCAACTCAGATGGGTGGTCAAATTTGAGAACCCAGCAGCCGTAAGTAGGGAAGGACTTGGGCTCTATTAAGAGGATGGCCCAGAGAAGTGTAGTCACAGAGCCCTCCACCTGGGATTGTAGCTGAGTGACCCTGAAATCCCAACCCTAGGCAGCAGCAAGTGAGAGCTACCAGCTTCAGGCTAACTTTGGGGACCCAGCCATGTCAAATTCCACCTCTTCCACACACACAGGAGGGCTGCCCAGCGAAATGAAACCGAGAATCCTTGGGGTGTCCAGGCAGCACAGAAGTAAAGAACTGTGGTATATTGGTACCGGTCTCCTCCCCATCAGCCTTGAAGAAGGAAGGAAGGCAGGGGCCTGCCCTGATGCGCTGCGGGCGGGGCTGCCCCGACCCTGCCGGGGTGGGGAGGGCTAGCCGAGCCCAGGAAGGGGGCGGGGCGGCCGCAGTGACGCGGCGGGGAGGGACAGCAGGGGCGCCGGCGGGCAGACCGGGAAAAAGGTCGGGGTTATGGGCCCGCTCTGCGCCTCCACAGGGTCGGGCTCCATCTGGAATCCGAGCCCGGGGCTGGGGGCGCAACGGACTCCCACCTTGGGGCCGGCCGCCCCTGCCCAGGCCGGGTGAGGGGCGCTCGCTAGAAGCTAGAGGTGAGCGGGGACGTCGGTGAGCAGGCGGGTCATGAGCGCCCTGGCGACTGGGACTCTGAGCAGAGGGAAGTGGAGACAGAGGGCCTCTCGCCCGCCCTCTGGGTGAGAGGTGGGAGCAGGAGAGGTGTCTGCAGCGGAACTGTGGCGCCGGGCCGGGACGCAGGTGGGCAGAGCGGGCCGCCCTGGGCGGAGGCCGGAGGGATAGCAGTGGACCGTTCTGCACCAGCCCGGAATGGGCAACCTCGTGGGAGGATGATGGGGTAGCTGCAAGGACGAGTGGAGAATCGGTGCGGACCGAGGGTACAGTTCAGGACCCGGGAACCCACTAGGGTGGTGGAGGAAGATTGGGGGGGGCGCAGAGAGGTTTATCTGGCACCGAAAGGTAAGTTAGCACTGACAGAGTTGCAGAGACACATGGGGGCCATTCCCTGTTGGGGGACAAGGGTTTAGGTGGACGTCTGGGAGTGGGGTACACGGAACCCCACCATCATCGGGGGATGAAGTGGTGAAGGGGGCGGGCCCCTAAGGTTCTAGTCTTGGAAGGCGGGCGCACCTCGGAGGGATGCTGTCTGGGGAGGACGCTGGACGCGGCGTGGTGAAGACGCGAGGCTGGTCGTGCGGCGTGTCAGTCGGCGACCGCCGCTCTGGGGGGCCCGCGTCAGTGCGCGGTTGCCATGACGACAGGCGGGCGGGGGGCGGGGGCTGCGTGGAAAAGAGGTCAGCTCTGAGCCTTGTTGCTGCTCCCGGCTCTGGCGGTGCGGGAGGCAATACTGGGTTCACCTCTGCCTTCCCCGCGGTGGAACCGGGCATGGGGTTCCAAGACTCGAGCCCCTCGGCGGGCATGCAGGGCTCGGGACCGCGCACCGCCGCCCTGCACTGACGGCCGCGCGGTACCCTGTGCTAGGAGGAGAGGAGGCCGCACGCGGTCAGCGGAGCGTCTTCAGGATGCTCATCAAGGAGTACCACATCCTGCTGCCCATGAGCTTGGACGAGTACCAGGTGGCCCAGCTCTACATGATCCAGGTGAGAACGGTGGGGAGGGCTGTACTGGAGCCATGCTTCATGATGGAATGAAGCAGGAATTCGCAGGCCGAAGGGGGTTAGTCTCGCTGGATCCCCCCCCCCCCAACCAGTTCCGTTAGTGGGCTCTGTAGCCCAGAAAAGGAAAAGAGACATCCTTTGGATATTAAAGCGGAAGGGAGGGACATAGGGGCAGAAGGACAGGAAAGGCCAACGGGTGCTTTCTATCCATTAAATGCCCAGCCTGCACAGCCCACATATGGTCTCCGTTAATCCCAAGAGTCTGTAATCCCGTGGGGGAGGGGAAGCAGTCTATGGGGAGACTGAGAAGCCAGGGACATTAGGTGGTAGGTAGCTTAAGCAGGAAGGGGTTCTGGGAAAAAGTGTGGAATCCTAGCATTCCCAGGAGATCAGAAAGGTTCATGTAGATCAGGCCTCCAAACTGTGGCAAGGACGGGGCAGGCAGGACCTAGATGGTGAGGAAGGGCATCTGGCCTTGGGTTGTGAGAAAGATGCCGGATCAAGGCAAGCAAGTTATCAGGTTTTCAGGGAGTCCAGGTCTGTTCTCCAGGCCTACAGAGTATAAGTATTGGAGTAGAGAAGGCCACATCCCACCTCCGTGGGGTTGAGTGAACCACATCTAGGCTTCAGAGCTATAAAAGGACATCTCTTACACTATGAAGGATGTCACAGGATCTGGGAATAAGGTCCCAAAGGGAAGGGGTGGTCTTGCTGCTGCTCCTGAATGTATTCGTCATGTTCTGTTAGGAAACTTGCACAGACCTTTCTGCTTTGAGCCCCCCCCCTCCAGCCCCCTGTGTACACACACTACATGTTCGAGCCATTTTCTCCTTGTCCTCTTGGTCAGATCTGTGGCCATCTTACCACATTCAGTTCCCAGCTCTTTACTCTTGTCCTGCCTTCTTTTCCTCAGAGCACTCCCCTGCTGTTTTTGATTTCCCTCCGCTGCAGTCTAAGTTGTGACAATTCTGTTTGTCAACAAATCCCAGTTCTACATCCCAAACAATGACCAACCAGATCAAGTGCTAGGTGGCAGAACCCTGTGGGAACTGGGCAGATCATAGGATCCCAACCCCAGGAAGTTGCAGGGACCTGAAAAGGCTATGCAGGCTGCAGAGATGGCTCAGCAGTTAAGAGCACTTGCTGCTCTTGCAAAGGACTTGGATTTTATTCCCAGCACCAATGTGGCAGCTCACAATCAACTGCAACACCAATTTCTGGGGCTCCAATGCCCTCTTTGGGCATCAGACGTGCATGTACTGCAGGTACATACAGGCAGGCAAGCACTCATACGCTTGAAATAAACCTTTTCTTAAAAGGCTATGCAAAGAATCAGAACCAAGGTGAGGACCCAGGATTTAAGCTAGGGGTTAAGTTCCTCCTTCTCTGTCCTGGGCTGCAGAAAAAGAGCCGGGAGGAGTCTAGTGGTGAGGGGAGCGGAGTGGAGATCCTGGCCAACCGGCCCTACACAGACGGGCCTGGAGGCAGCGGACAGTACACACACAAGGTGTACCACGTGGGCTCCCACATCCCAGGCTGGTTCCGGGCACTGCTGCCCAAGGCTGCTCTGCAGGTAGAAGAGGAATCCTGGAATGCTTACCCTTACACCCGAACACGGTGAGTGTGTGAACTAGGCACAGACTCAGGACTGTTAAGGAAACAGTGCTTGTGAACACAGCAGTGACTTTCATACTGCCCTCTGCCAGGTATACCTGTCCCTTTGTGGAGAAATTCTCCATTGAGATAGAGACCTACTACCTGCCTGATGGAGGGCAGCAGCCTAATGTCTTCAACCTGAGTGGGGCTGAGAGGAGACAAAGAATCCTGGGTGAGGCCTTCTTGGGGCCCCTACTGTTGTTGCCTTGGTGGGCAGTCTCGGGCACGCCTCATTTCTCATCTTCCTGTCTCTGAAAGGCTTTCCTCCTAACCCTTGGGGTAGGGGTGGGCAGTAGAGATTTAAAAAGGGGCTTGGTTTGCTTAGTGCTGGCTCAAACCTCTTCAGACACCATTGACATCGTGCGGGATGCTGTGGCCCCAGGAGAGTACAAAGCAGAAGAGGACCCCCGACTGTACCGCTCAGTCAAGACCGGCCGAGGGCCACTGGCTGATGACTGGGCACGGACAGCGGCCCAAACAGGACCTCTCATGTGTGCCTATAAGCTGTGCAAGGTTGAGTTCCGCTACTGGGGCATGCAGGCCAAGATTGAGCAGTTCATCCATGATGTTGGTGAGCATCCAGATAAGGAATACCCAGCATGCACTAGGCCCGTGTTTGGAACCAAGAATGCTCCCATCCACTAGGGACATAGCAACACGAAACCATCACTTCCATCTCTGGTAGAACATAGGGGGGATAGTGTAGCATGCCTAAGAGTCAAGTGAGCCTGCTTTGAGGTACCTGAAAGAATTATGGGGTCAAGAAGCTGGCAGCATGGTCTCTGAGGTCCACACTGTATCTGATACTCAAAGACTTTGTGACCTTTGTGAAGTTCCTGTGAGTTTGGGAATACTGAGAGGCTCACCAGCCCTCCCAGGATTTTCTGGGGATTGCAGACTAAGAAGCACTGATTCTAGGACTGCTTTCCTCTGGGTACCCTCCTTTCCCCAGCACCCAGTGTCACAGCTATGGCTCTGATATTGAAGACCCAATTCTAAGCCTTTTCTGACTCCCACCTCCAGAGCTGCTACCCAGCCCTACTTACTTGTTAGGTCTGACAGACCCATCCCCAGGTGCTAGAGTTCCATAGTCTGGGTTCTACTTTATCCACTGCTCACCCCCTGTGGCTGTTTCAGCAAGCTGTGAGCTGTCTCAACACCTTAATGTTCCTTTCTGACATGAGAAAGTTGAGGATAGTGACAGCCAGTGCCTGAGTGGTCCGCATGTCCCAGATCCTTGAGAATCACTTTTACTGCAGGATCTGCTTTAGCGCCCTTGATGTCCCTGTAAGACAAGGCTACTGCTATTCCCATTTTTACAGATAAAGACAACTGAGTTTAGAGAATAATTCAGGCTCCCTGTAATGCATGTGGAAAAAAACCAAAAAGTACAAATAAAACGAAAATCACCAACATGTAACCTCTGTTAGGATGCTAATGCATCTCCTTCCAGAGGCTTGCAATTCAACCATTATTACTTTACTTCCTAGATTCCTCTGAGTGTCTTAACTTTATTTTTCTCCTTAAGATGAAAATATCCTAGAATGGATATTGTCTTTCTCTCCACCCTCTGAGGATTGCCAGAATTTCCATTAACTATTAACACCTTCATTTACCATGACAATTTCATTAACTGTTAACACCTTAATTAACTGATAGCTCCTCAGCAGAAGTCAGCAGGAAGCTGCTGAAAGCAAGCCACAAGCCTTGGTCCCGTCTGCTAAAGTGATGGGGTCAGTGCTCAGAATGTCCAAAGAAATAGACAAGAAAGGACACGGAGACAAATGCCCGTCTCCTACCTAACCCCTAAATAGCATAGGCCTAACCCTGCTCTACTATGTGGTTCTGGTGGGTGGTATGCCTAAGGGAGCCATTACCTGACCTTAAGGACGGGGGACGGGGCATGTGGCTGCAATGGTAGGGAAATGGTGATGGGAGGCATGGTTCTGATGTCTGGGGCATCCGCAGGTCTGCGCAGGGTGATGCTTCGGGCCCACCGCCAGGCCTGGTGTTGGCAGGATGAGTGGATAGAATTGAGCATGGCTGACATCCGGGCTCTGGAGGAGGAGACTGCACGTATGCTGGCCCAACGCATGGCCAAGTGCAACACCAGCAGTGAAGGGCCTGAGGTCCAGACCCCTGGAAAACCCAGCACTGAGGCCCGACCTGGAACTAGCAGCCCTGGCACCCCTGATGGGCCTGAGGCCCCTCCCGGCCCTGATGCCTCACCGGATGCCAGCTTTGGGAAGCAGTGGTCCTCATCCTCCCGTTCCTCCTACTCATCCCAACATGGAGGTGAGGCTGGGGTACAGGGATCAAGGATGGGAGGGAACCACTCACCTGACCTGGTCTCCCAAGCTAAAGCCCAGATTGTCCTGCAGGTGCTGTGTCTCCACAGAGCTTGTCTGAGTGGCGCATGCAGAACATTGCCCGAGACTCTGAGAACAGCTCCGAGGAAGAATTCTTTGATGCCCACGGTCAGCGTAGAAGCCATATTTGTGGAGGGTGGGGGTATTGGAGAATTCTTAAGACACCCCATCCCATGGCATAACCCCTGTCCCCTCAGAAGGCTTCTCGGACAGTGATGAAGTCTTCCCCAAGGAGATGACCAAGTGGAACTCCAATGATTTTATCGATGCCTTTGCCTCCCCAACTGAGGTAGAGGGGGTACCAGGTAAAGACCTCACCTCAGGGTACCAGACACCAGCACCCTGTGTGCAGCAGGGATTTGAAACAGCTCAGCCCAGAGTGAACGGGGCCTGAGGAATGTAGGTCTGAAGAGGGTTCTCATCAATACTCAGATGGTGAATGGATGGATAAAGGGTGGAATGATGGATGGAAAACATGCAGACAGGTCCAGGTGATGCCAGGGAAGGACTCCTGGGTAGTGAAGAAGACTTTTCACTGGGGCTGATGCCTACACTGGGGTTTAAAGGATTGAACCAATGCTGTTCAACAGAGCTAAGACAGTGGAATGTTCTAGGTCTGAGCCACCTCACATGGTAGCCACTAGCACCATGTGACTTAAAATGCGTGTTTTGTTTTTTGTTTTGAGGCAAGGTTTCTCTGTGTACTCTTGGCTGTCCTGGAACTTGCTCTGTAGACCAGGGTGGCCTCAAACTCACAGATTCTCCTGCCTCTGTGCA